AAACAAGCTGATTGACCTCTACAAATATTTGATGAAGTACCTAAGAGCTTCGGCAATACCAACGCCACGAACTGTGCCAAAATGGAGGATGAAACAAAATGAATCGATTTCCTTTCCCCTCACTGCCAAATGAAAGAAAACCAAGAGAAAATGGAATTTCTCTCTCTATTTTCTACTACTTTCTACCTCTTCCCAATGAAAGTAGTAGAGTATGTATATATCAACCAAAGGCAATTAATTTTCCCTCAATCCATGCTGACAGCCGAAATGGGAATTGAATAAAGAAATCCATTTTTCAACCTTGTGACATCTATGCTGCAAAAGGAGTGTGAAACAAGAAAAAAAAGAAAAGGAATTTCATTCTTCTTGACTTCTGCCGAACAGCTCCACCGCCAAGCAACTTTTAAAAATTCAAATGACATTTAATGAATGTCAGGTTGACAAATATTTGTTATAGTGGATACAAAAAAGATATGCTTGGTCCAAATTGGGCTATTTACCACATAGGAGGGAAGCCCAACCCAATAGTATGAACAATGATAACCTTCTCGAGTGTTAAAAAGAGAGCCCACGAAAGCAAACAAGTAATGGCTTGACAAAAAATCTTTCTTTAATTTCCTCGATTCTCAGTGCGGAGAATTTTATGTGTGAGCCAAACTAAGCCGTTACTTCCAAAACATCGGGACAATGTTGTCACCATTCGGCTTCATTCCATCAACTTTCCAAAAATAATTTGGGACAAAATTGCATTAGGTAATGCAAAACAATACAAAAAATCATAACTTCATTGAATAAGGTAGCTGCGAAAATGAATATTATCGATAAGCATATCTCAAGTTGCCACAAGATTGGGAACACACACAGCAACTGAATTGAATGCAGAGATTTTCATAGAAACCATTTCCAAAATAGAAACTTGTTTGTTCAATGGAAATATACTCACTAGACAATAATAATTTTCGTTTCTGGGAAGGCAACGGGAAGATCCAAAAGCTCCTGCATAATTTAAGTAGAGTGCTTTTTGCAGTGATATTTGCTACGAAAAAAATGACAACCTTTTCAAGTGTTGAAAACCTAGCAAGTAGCTTCTTAATGAAAAGCATTGCAGAATGTGACCCTATAAATGAGATAAACTTCAAAGCATGGAGCATCTTATTTGTTTGAGCCACAGTATGAAGTTCGAACAAGGCGTCCATACAATCAATAGGCAATAAATCGAGCTATAGGCAAGCATCAAATACAGAGAAAAAAAACTCGATCAAATCAGCATTTACACAATTTTATCCAGAAATGCAAAACAATATGAAAATGAACAAATGAATTATTTGTCTATGACCAGGACTATGTGGTTTAATGGTACCCGGGTTGGACTTCCATTTGGAAGGTTATGAGTTCAAGCCTCATTGGAGGCGTTATTCAAATAGAAAGAAAGTGGAATCAATTCCTTTAAAAAAATAACAAATAAACAATAGTCAGATAAAGAATAACTCGTTTTATTTTGGGAGTTGGGTTGTCACTCGAAGCACAGCCATAGAGTTTGGCTCTTGACTCAAAGAAGAGCAACCCATACAACCTCAGGGTTGTATCAATTAGTGCTTTCATTGAGAGGCCGAAGTGTGGTGGGAAAGGACTACCTGGAAGAGGGTTACCCGGTGCTTGATAAGGTTCAAAGGGAACCAAGAGGAGTCCGGAGTGAAAACTATCCAGAGTGAAGCCGTCGACTCATCTGGTGCCGGCCTAGCGGAGGGGGCGACCTAGAAAAGGGCTACTTGGTGCTTGATAAGGTCCGTAGTGAAGCCATCTAAAGGGAAAAATGGCTACCTGGTGCCAAGAAGAGTCCGGAGTGTGAACCATCTAGAGTAAGCCGCCGCGGACGTCGACTTCTCAAGGGGTGGGCATTGATACGATCCCACATTAACTCCACAAGAGATTGTGGAGTGGTACTTAAATTGGGGCCAAACCTCCACTCATGAACTAGTTTTTATGGTGGAGTTAGGGTATTAGTTTGAGTATCGTAGCAAACTATTTAGAGTAGAAATAAGAAAAAATGAATTCAAAACAAACAAATTTCTAGCATTCAAAATTTGTAAACCTAAATTTCTTATCCCAAAAATTTAAAATGAAAATGTAATCCACATTGCTTTAAAATCCAGAAGAAAATCCAGAAGAATGTGTATGTTGTATAATGTACATTATATTCAGGGGATGTACATTATTTTTGTATTGAGTGTGCGTTATATTGTATAATGTACATATAGTACAAAAATAATGTACATTTAGTATATTAAAAATGTACTTTTTGTTATAGTTTACATAACATTGTGTGAACTATGGTCAACACAGTAATTTGCCCCCAAAGAGGAGAGAGGCGGCGAGCAGCGGAGGAGGAGAACCGTTTGAGTTGGGCTTGCGTTTTTGAGAACAGAGCACAAATCACAAATACTGAAATCTTCCTTCTATCTATCTATCTATCTATCTTATAAAGCAACAACTTCGCATAATTCATTTTCCCGCCCACAAAAAACGACTTTGTTTGTTTTGGGCGCTAGAGTATTTGGCCTAATTAAATGCTTATATTATTTACTTTTTGGATCTTTTCATAATCCAATGTGTATTATGGAAAAATGTAATGAGTGCATGTATGTCGTATGCACGTATTATAGAGTTTCAACCAGTTTAATTGGTTACTAAAAATCAGAGGTTACCTAATGTCTTAAATTAATTAAATCGGTTGAAACTAAAAAAATAATAAATAATGTGTCAATTCCAAATGTAGTTCCAGACTATCATTTTTGCCATTTAACATCTCATACTATTATTTTTAGTCATTTTCATGACTTTTCATATTTTTAATAAGGGCATTTTTATCTCTTCATATTTTTCTTTTGTTATTATTTTTTTTTTTTTGTTTCAACCAGTTTAATTGATTTCAGACGTTAGGTAACCTCTGATTTTTAGTAACCAATTAAACCGGTTGAAACTCTATAATACGTGCATAATACGTGCATAGGACATACATGCATTCAATACATTTTTCCATAATACACACTGGATTATGAAAAGATCCAAATATAAGCATTTAATTAGGCCAAATACTCTAGCTACGCTATACAAAATATGATCCACACAATAATGATTTTACATTATACAAATATGATCCACACAATAATGATTGCTTTTTGGGCGTTTGGATTCCAGGTTTTTCTCTCAAACTCAATTTGCTTTGCTGCTGTGTGTGTCCGTATGTATGTATGTATGTGTGTATACATTCTTCTGGATTTTAAAGCAATGTGGAATACGTTTTAATTTTAAAATTTTGGGATAAGAAATTTAGGTTTACAAATTTTGAATGCTAGAAATTTGTTTGTTTTGAATTCATTGTTTCTTATTTCTACTCTACATAGTCCATGTATGAAGTATCATGTTTGGCATATTCCTATAAAGCTGTCTGTCTTTAAGACCTTCAATTTAATTATTATGACCAAGTTAACACATTTTTGGACTATATATTATATTTAGAAAAAAATATCATTTTTAGTCCCTCAATTATAATATATGTATCAATTTAGTCTTTGACTATTAAAAAATAACTCCCATAATCGGCTACGCTGTATGTCTCTAACCAAACGAAGAGTGTTGGACTTCGTGTCTTCGTCTATTTGTGTCTAAGTGGAGGGAATGGCCTTATTCTAAATTTGTGTATGAGGAGAGAGATCGAGTATTTGCCTTCTAAAAAATAGTAAGCTCCAAAAGTTCTATATAAGCTAACCATGGCACATTGCAAATTGAAAATTATAAAGCATATCATTCATAGAAGGAAACAAAAGGATTTGTGTCTAATAGTAAAAAATACAACATTTTTAAAAGAAAATCATTTTTGCTTTTCAAAGACACGACGAAAATTCAAAACCTCTTGCAAACTATGGGTATGAACAATGCCAACCTTCTCCAGTGTTAAAAATAGAGCGCAAGAAAGCAAATAAGTAATGGCTTGACAAAAAATATTTCTTTCCTCGAGCCTCAGAACGGAGAATTTTGTGTGTGAGCCAAACTAAGCCGTTACTTCCAAAACACCAAGACAATGTTGTCACCGTTCGGCTTCATTCCATCAACCTTCCAAAAATAATTTGGTACAAAATTGCATTAGGAAATGCAAAACAATCAGAACTTCACTCAATAAGGTAGCTATGAAAATGAATATTATTCGATAGGCATATCTCAAGTTGCCACAAGATTAGGCACACACACAGAAACTAAATGGAATGCAGAGATTTTCATAGAAACTATTTCCAAAATAGAAACATGTTTGTTCAATGGAAATATACTCACTAGACAATAATAATTTTCGTTTTTGTGGAGGCAACAGGAAGATCCAAAAGCTCCAGCATAATTCCAGTAGAGTCCTTTTTGCAGTAATTTTTTACACCAACAATGAGAACCCTTTCAAGTGTTGAAAAATTAGAAAGTAGCTTCTTAATGAAAAGCATTTCAGAATGTGACCCTGTAAATGAGATAAACTTCAAAGCACGGAGCATCTTATTTGTTTGAGCCACAGCATGAAGTTCCAACAAGGCGTCCACACAATCAGTAGGCATTGAATTGAGCTATATATAGACAATCATCAAATACAGAGAAAAAAAAAACTCGATCAAATCAACATTTACACAAAATTTTATCCAGAAATGAGAAACAATATGAAAATGAACAAATGAATTATTTGTCCATGAATATGAAGATTACCCAAAATAAATCGATATCGAGTTTGCGCAACTTAGGGCATAATCACAGCAAATAAACAAACACAGAAGATGATCTGTCACTGTTGATATAGAATTCTCCGGAACATGAAAGCTTAAGGTATTCCACATTTAGTTGAAATTCCATCCTAGTGAATTCTTTAAAAAGTCCCTTGAAAATCAAATAGAAAGAAAGTGGAATCAATTCCTTTAAAAAATAATAAATAAACAATAGTCAGATAAAGAAAAGTTATGGCTAAATACCTGGACAAAACCATTCAAATCAAGAGTAGAAATAGATCTCAAGTCCAAGTTAACCGGGAGAAATTTGGCCAACATGTTATATGAGTTAGATTTGATTGTTAAACTACACAGCTTTGGAGCAGTAATATCAAAATAAAACGAGTCTTTACAGTCGATAAATGACAAATTCTCAAGTGCCGGAACGTCAATAGCACAATCTAGACAATTTATAGGGCCAAAGTCAACCCATTGAAAACAAAGTGAAGCAACATTAGGTAATATGCAAGGGAAATTGATTGGATCAACAATGACACGATAAAGATGCAATCTCTTAAGTGTTAAACAAGAAAATATGCAGCCCGGCAACCGGTATGCTTGTTCCGCAAAACCAATGTAGATTTCTTCAACACCTTTCTGTGTGACTAAAAGTAACCATTCGTCAATGTCATAAGACCGATACCTAATTGCAAGTTTCCCAACATTATAAAAACAGAGAACAAATTTCCGAATTGTTCCTTTGTGCAGCCGGAGAACTTTGTTGATCACGTATAAACTTGCAGCTGATTTCTTGACATAGTTGCTAGCACGGCGATGTTTATTATTAATATAACGAAAGAACCTACGATCAAAATTGAGTTGGGTAAGACTAAGCCAAACATCTCTCCAAATGGAAGATAACACAACGGTTTTAGCAGCATCTTCAATTGGCAAAAATCCCAAAATGTGGTCAAGTATATCTGCGGGAAGTTGACTGATTCTATCTCTCCCCGGTGCCATAATCCAATGCCCTAAACCTATGCAAATTAAAATTAACTAACAAATATGAATCAAAATTTAAAACATAGTCCAAAATGGGCTAACATGGCCTTAATAATTAAATTGCAGGACTTAAACACAGTCAGGTTTATAGGAATATGCCAAACATCATACAGAGTAGAAATAAGAAACAACGAATTGAAATCAAACAAATTTCTAGCATTCAAACTTTGTAAACCTAAATTTTTTATCACAAAATTTCAAAATAAAAACTTAATCCACATCGCTTTAAAATCCAGAAGAATGTATACACAGATACATATATACATACATACGGGCACACACAACAGCAAAGCAAATTAGGTTTGAGAGAACAACCTGGAATCCAAACGCCGAAAAAGGAGAGAGGCGGCGAGCAGTGTCGGAGGAGAACCGTTTGAGTTGGGCTTGCGTTTTTGAGAACAGAGCACTACTGAAATCTTTCTTCTATCTTCCTTCTATCTTATAAAGCAACAACTTCGCATAATTCATTTTCCCGCCCAAAAAAAAGACTTCGTTTGTTTTGGGCGCTAGAGTATTTGGCCTAATTAAATGCTTATATTATTTACGAGTTAATTCCAGCAATGGTCTTCCGACTATTGTGATTTTTCAAAATTAGTCCTTGTCTTTTAATTTGGACAAAAGAAACCTTGACTTTTAAATTTGTTTCAGCATTGGTCCTTCCGTTAACTTTCAGTTTGTTAGGTGTTAGTTTATTTCCTTAGTTATGTAGGATATAAATAAATAAATTACTGCACATGCAATAATGAAAAGGATAAAAATAAATAAATAAAAGAAAGCCATGGGCCTAGGATTGACATTTCACCTTGCATGATTTAATATGTTTTGATTAAAAAAAAAAACTGCAGTGTAAACACTTGTATTCATGTATTATAAACGGAAACAGAATGATAGATTATGATGATTACTTGGCGTTTAGGAGTCTAACTTGGCAAGCAACCAATAACATATGCTTCTGTCAACATTCCATGTCACAAAAAGTACAATTCATTTAATTCTTTATTCTCAGAGGATTCAGAAGCATCCATTTCAACCAACTTCAAATGGCTAAAGCCATAACAATAAAGGAAAAATGTCAATCATTGATGAGTTCCACCACCATTTTCATCTGCCTTGTCCTTCTGCACAGCTGCTCTTCCTTGTATATCCGATTCCTGCGTTGATACTCTTTGGAGTGGTGGAGACACTCGAGATAGTCTTCTCGGAGAAGAGCGCAGTCCTTGGGCTCTCGGCAACTGGACAATCCCGGACATACATTCACTGAAATCCATACAGAAATCGTTTGTCAATTACAACATGAGGAAGAAGAAAGCAATTAGATGTAATGACCATTTTAGCCACTACACTAACACCTAACAAACTGAAGGTTAACGGAAGGACCAATACTGGAATTAACAAATCTGAAAGTCAAGGGTCTTTTTTGTCTAAATTAAAAGGCAAGGACCAATTTTAAAAAATTACAATAGTTAGAGGACCATTGCTGAAATTAACTCTATTATTTACTTTTTGGGTCTTTTCGTAATCCAACCTGTATTGTGAAAAAATGTATTGAATGCATGTATGTCTAAATGTTTATTATATGATAAATCTTTGGGTGTTTCCAAGGCTACTGTAAATAAATTATAAATGTTTTGATGGGTAGTTAGTAGAGTAGATTTTGTTCATTTCCAAAGAATTGGGTATTGTAATAGTCGGCTACGTTATTGGCAAAAATAAATGTGTTTCTTGCAAATGGCTATAGAAATAGAATGGCTTCACGATAAGAGTAAATGAGTAATACCTTCCATTTCATAGACAATTCCCCTACCTTCTCCTTCAAGTTTAATATTGTTTTTCTAGAGATTTCAAAAGAGATTTAATATTGTTTGAAAAAAAAAAATAAATAAACTTTAATCCTAATTATATTGCGCATACAGTGAAGAGTATGTCAGGCATAGATAAATGGAACATATATTGATTTGAAAAAACAATAATAATAAACTATCCACAATGAGCGTTAGAAGTACACACAAAAATTGAGGATTTCATATTTGGTTCTTATTAATATATATATTGAATAAAGGATTTGACTCATTAATAAAAGATCTAACCTGTCTCACTGATTGAGAAGTGTGAGAGTCTCACACAAGTGTTACCCATATACAATTGCATATATTGAAAAATAAGTAATATATAAATTGAATAAAGTACATTTTCTAATATATACCACATTGGTTGCTTTCAAAAAAGTACATTTTCTTTTTGATACTTTTATAGAAAAATACAGCATTACTCAATTATTTGAGATAAACAATTTAGCAAGTTGTTTGCATTATATATTATATTTAGAGAAAATATATCATTTTTAGTCATTCGAATATAATACTGTATAAATTTTAGTCATTGACTATTAAAATGTTCAATGAGTTAATTCCCAAAATGGTTCTTCAACTATGGCTTTTTCTTAAACTAGTAGTTGCACCCGTGCGATGCACGGCCATATATATAAATAATAGAATATATAGTATTATATAAAAAATAAATAGGGTAGAGAAAAATTTTCAATTTATTAGACATTATTGAAAACTTCTTTATATACGACATTTGTAGTCGTATTTTTAGATTTTACATTTTCATCACAGATAAGTATTTTTAAACCCTTCGGATTACTAACTCTTGACACTGCTACATACATTTGACAACATTAGTGGGAATTGCTTTCTTTGGAATTTAAAAGGCAATCTGGGATCAGACGATGTTAAGGACATCCTTGGAATTAAGACCTTTGAACCAGCACTTGCTCCGCACAGTATTTGAGCTTCTAAAACATGACCAGCCAACTTTGAAATTATCATTCTTGTACCATTGCACAACCCTAATGAGTGATCAATATTTCTCAAAAGCATAACTGGTGAGCCGACTTTTAGAGTCAATGAGTGATTTGGAACTCCAGAACAGCGTAATCCATTTAAAAATTCCAGTGTGTGCAGATCAGCAAGCATGTCAACATTAGAATTCGATTTGCAAACTGAATCACAACTGAGATACGTCCTTCCTTCAGCATTATTATATTCATTCATGTATTCATTGACTTGATCAACAATATCCAAAGTTGGGGCCAAAATTCATTTATGTTTTATTTGAATGAGAGTACGGTTTTGGTGTGTATTCCATAAAAGATTTATTTTTATTGAATCCGTGTGTTTTTACTGAATGGAAAATGATGATATGACCATTTTTTATGCCAGTTTCTTAATTATTTAGGACATTCTTAATACTTTTCAGTTGGAGATTCAAATGCTGTAGCTTAATTTGAATCAAAATTTTACAGTCTAAATGAGTTATTTTTAGTGAATCGAAAGTTGTCTACATTTGAAGTTGTATTTTTTTTTTGTTTGCCAGTTATAAATTTTAGTAAATGATGGCAAATAATTTTACTGAATGGCAAGATCAAAATCATATATAAATGAAGTGAATTCAAACTGTTTGAAGCAACACATTCGAATTTCACATTACAATTATTAGACTCAATTGTAAGGTGTTACTATTAAGTACTTTATGGGCCATAGTTAAATGTGTGTTATTAAAAGATGTGAAATGAATGATTTTTTGTGGGTTTGGTGTTTTCAAATGCATGTTTCCTAGGCCATTTTTTTTTATTTGCAATATCTCAGAATGTGGTATTTATATACGCTATAAATATTTTACAGTATTAAGACGCACTTAGCATAATATAGTCTAATCTAGAATACAAATCATATAAGATGGAATTCCTTGAACATTGTTTGTAATCCTTGTCTTGATCTTGCTTGTATTAGTGAAGATGGAATTCCTTGAAGATTCTTTGTAATACTGGTCTTGATCTTGCTTGTATTTGTGAGTCAGTATGATTGCTTCAGGCTGATTCCATTTTTAATCTGCAAAAAGTTAGAAAGCAATAAAATAGTACAAATATAGTTCAATTAAAAATAAAGTTAGCACTGACACAGTGCATTAAATGTCATCAGTGCTTTCAAATCTTTATCCCTAATGTGTGCATACTTTCCACCTGCATACATTTATATATACAGAACAATATAAACTACCAAACACAAATTTAGTAACATAGTTAAAAAAAAAATAGGTAAATATCCAAACACAAATTATATCTTAGAAACAATTCTCACAAAAAGCAATCTTTAGCACTAACAGATTGCTCAAAAATAAGTTTCGAAACAGATAAAAATCCACACTCAGGTGGTAAATTGTCAGCAACACATCACCAAGTATCAAATTCACCAGTTTCACCATTAATTAAACTTTTTCAATCTTCACAGTAACACCCTTTGCCTTCTTTAATTGCTTGGAAGAAGAGAATTGGTCAAGCAGTGATCTCTTCACACCAGTTGAGTCTTCAGGTTCTGGTTCAATCATTTGGGACTGTTGGGCACTGATGGGGCTGTTAACTTCATTGTCTCCATTAGAAGCTTCCTGAAAATTTACAAAATATGAATAATTATAATTAAGAAAAATGTCTAAACACAAAAAAGTAGTGTCATAAGAATAATTACCTGATCTGATTCATCTTATTCATCTTCATCCTCATCTATCATTTTAGAAATGAGATCCTTTTCTTGGGTTTCCTTCAATTTTCAGCAGTAGGTAGACTAAAATTTTATCCCTCAAAACCCGTATCACAGTATAAGCTGGATTAGCTCCCTTCATTTGGTCAAGTTCAATGATATCTTAAATATTAGGAGGAAGACTAAAACATTCAACAGTGAACAGAAAATGTAGAAAATAAATATACCTCTTCATCGCATACCAAACATTCTCTACTCTTGATTTGTGTAGAGCCTCTATTTTCAGGTATTTCATAACATCTCACACACCTAACTCTTATGGTTCTCTCAATATCTAGAGGGCCTATATCTTTAACAGCCAGATACTGATTTGGCATGGTTAATTTGTAGATATTTTGGTTTCTTTGTTCGTAATTAGAAGGTGATTCGAACTGAAGAGATGGGGAAATTTGGAGTGCATATGTCTATGAACAGAGGTTTATATAGACTCTGAAATTTTATATAAAAATTTAAATATTATTATCTGGGAAATCTGAAGGCTGCTGGAGACCTTTGGTTTTCCAAGAGCAAGGGATGAAGTTTTCGAAGCATTTAATCAGCAGGAGATTCAAAATCTTTATGGATCTATTTGTATATCTGTATTTCTATTTGGGTAATTCTATTTACACCACCTATTTTACTATTTGCACCACCTATTTAGTAGGGTCAAATAACTTTATAAGTGGTGTAAATGCCAGCATTAAATATTGTCAATGAATATTATTTGTTTTTTTTTTTAATTACAAAAAAAAAAAAAAAAAAAAAACCTTCTCCACCCCCGTCACCTTCTCCGGGAGAAGGCTTC